CAGGCGTTTAAAAATTAATTTTGAAGTGCAAGGTTGTTGTTTTTTTTAAAAAAAAAATTGCTGTAAGAATCCGACACAATTACCCCTCAACCCTTCCCCCCCCCCCCTTTTTCAGAAATCTATAAAAGACCCATTTTTCCAAGCAGGCGTTTAAAAATTAATTTTGAAGTGCAAGGTTGTTGTTTTTTTTAAAAAAAAAATCTGTACCTATTTTTGTTGCCTTAAAAGTGCAGGCAATTCCTCCATTTAACAATAGTTCATTTGGTAACCATCCAAGGTTACTCCGGCACTGAAAAAGACCGAAGGGAAAACCCTTCGGAGGCTCCTGGCTGCCACCGTGAATTAAGCAGGAGCGAAATGCGCACACTTACAGTCATGTAAGCCTCCCCATGATTACATCCGGATGCTTGACGGCTGACTCACATTTGTGACGGTTGTAGCAGATTCCCCTTTTGCGACCTTCTGACCAGCAGAGTCAATGGGGAATGCAGATTCACTTAACAACCTTGCGGCCCATTTAACAACTGCAGTGTCCCAGGGGATCACGTGATCCCCTTTTGTATATAGGGGCTCCTGCTTGAGCGAGGGGGTTGGACTAGATGACCTACAAGGCCCCTTCAAGCTCTGTTAGCGTTCTACTTTCTGCCAAGCCAGTGGGGGGGAACCAGATTCACTTAACAACCTCGTTACGCATTTCAGAACCGCAGCGATGCGTTTAACAAATGTGTCAGGAAAAGTCGTAAAAGGGAACAAAACTCATGGAGCCGAATTGCTCATTGAGCGACATAAATTTGGGGCTCCGTTGTGTTCATAAATTGAGGAGTACCTGGAAAAAAATGGTTATAGCCATAAGAATAACGATGAGTTAATGAAATGCTGCCTTCCTAGATTGTTTGACAGTGTTGCGGGAATTACCGTATTTTTCACACTATAAGACGCACCGGAGTATAAGACGCACCAAAATTTTGAAGAGAAAGACAAGGGGGGAAAAAAGTTTTTGGTCTCCGTGCATCCTTTTTTTTTTGGCTCTCTCCAGCCCCCAGAAGCATTCCCTAGGCCTCCCAAACCTTTTGCATGCCCCGAAAACGGACCTGCAGGGTGGGGTTTCGGGAGGCCAAAAATGGCCGTATTCGGTGTATAAGACGCACCAACATTTCCACCCTCTTTTATAAGAGAAAAAAGTACGTCTCACACTCTGAAAAGTACCATAGTTATTTCGCACAGTGATAGGGGGGGAAGAATGCCAGTGGATTGCAAAATATCCTTCTCATTTTGCATGTTTGCTTATAAGCTCCGAGGGCTGGAAGGTTATTCATGTTACCGTAATTGAGGTTTACGCAAGGGATACTTACACCCCACGAGTATGAACGGTGCACTGTGTGGGCTACACTGGAGAAAGGCTGCATTGAGAACAAACCGCTTTAGTCACAACTGTTTGCATTCTGAACCCTTTCCCTGAAGCGAAAAAGCAGGAGTTGGTCCTTATGTCCGTGCCTGAGCCCAAAAGTTATGTTGCTAAGTGAAACATTTGTTAAGTGAGTTTTGCCCCATTTCTACCACTTTTCTTGCCGCAGTTGTTAAGGGAAGCGCTGCCGTTGTTAAATGAGTAAGGTAAAAGTTCCTCTCGCACATACGTGCTAGTCGTTCCGGATTCTAGGGGGCATTGGTGCTCATCTCCGTTTCAAAGCCGAAGAGCCAGCGCTGTCCGAAGATGTCTCCGTGGTCATGTGGCTGGCATGACTAAACACCGAAGGCGCACAGAACGCTGTTACCTTCCCACCAAAGTGGTACCTATTTTTCTCCTTGCATTTTTATGTGCTTTCGAACTGTTAGATTGGCAGAAGCTGGGGCAAGGAACGGGAGCTCACTCCGTTATGCGGCGGTAGGGATTCAAACCACCGAACTGTCGACCTTTCTGATTAACAAACTCAGCGTGTTAGCCACCGAGCCACTGCCTCCCACTCATTAAATTAATAACAGGGCTGTTAAGTGAATCCATTAATACGGTTCTTAAGTGAATCCTGCTCCCCCCCGCCCCGCCCCATTGACCCATTGTTCTTCAGAAGGACGCAAAAAGGGGATCGAATGCATGACCCCAGGACAGGTCATAAATATGAACCATTTGTCAAGCGTCGGAATGTAACTCACTTGACCACGGGAGTGCTGTAACAGTCCTAAGCGTGAAGAATGGTCATAAGTCCCTTTCTTTTTTCAATGCCACTAAACAAACCACAGAATACCTTCTGCAGAATACCTGGAGAAACCTACCTGCCTCAGCCATTAACCTGAAATAATAATCTTTTTTTGCTTGTGCTGTGAGAAGCGGTGGGTTTCCTGGAAAATTTTGAATGGAAAGAGTGGCTTTCTGCTCTTCCTGAACTCTCTCGACCCTCCAGCCTGGGAATAAGAAGGATGGAAATTGCTTCCTTCCATCTACCCAATTCCTGTCCCTTAAAAAATATTTGCAGTTGGGGTTTTTTGCATCGGTCCCCATCTTCGTTCCTCTGTCCAGTCCGTGAAGCCACTTGTGGGGTGGGGTAGGGTGGGGGATGTTTGCAGTTTCTAAGAATGTTTCCAGTTTAGCCTTTAATGAGGAACTCCTTCCTCTTCGGGGGTCCCCATCGCTGTAAAAGAAAAGCT